GTTTAACCGTATTGAATCCCCTTATGTTTTCTCTTTCCTGTTTATCTTTTTATGCTTCTCTTGTATTTGAAAATCAAATTTTCTGTTCAACTTTGATCTTTTCATCAGGAATGACTGAAAGTTCTCTATTTCATTGAATGTCCATTCTTTCCCCTCTCTATCCCCCAAAGGATGGACTCAGTTTCGATGGGGAGGCAATTCTTGGTAATCCTAGTTCCTTTGCCTTCTGAAATATCATATTCCAAACCTATATTCCTTTAATGTAGAAGCTGCTAAATCTTGTGTAATCCTGATTGTGGGTCTATGATATGTGAATTGTTCTTTCTGGCTGTGTGCAGTATTTTCTCCTTAGGAAAAAGATCTGGGGATTCTGGAATTTCATTATAATATTTCTGGAAGTTTTCATTTTGGAATCTCTTTCTGGAGGTGATCAGTGGATTCTTTCAAGTTCTGGTTTACCCTCTGATTATAGGATATCAGGGCAGTTTTCCTTGATAATTTCATGAAATATTATGTCTAGGCTTTTAAAAAAAACTATTATTATGGTTTTCGAGTAGTCCAATAATTCTTAAAGTATCTCTCCTGGATCTATTTTTCAAGGTCAGTTATTTTTCCAATGAGATAGTTCACTCCCCCCTCCCCCATTCTTTTCATTCTTTTGCTTTTGTTTTATTGTTTCTTGATGTCTCATGGAGTCACTAGTTTCTACTTGCCCAATCCTTTTTTTTTTTTTTTAGGCAATTGGGGTTAAGTGACTTGCCAGGGTCACACAGCAAGTAAGTGTCAAGTGTTTGGTCTGAGGCCGGATTTGAACTCAGGTCCTCCTGACTTCAGGGCCAGTGTTTTATCCACTGCGTCATCTAGCTGCCTCCCCCCATTTTTATTTTTAAGGAATTATTTTCTTCAGTGAGCTTTTGTTGACCACATTTTCCATTTGGCCTATTCTGCTTTTTAAGAAGTTTTCTTCAGTGGATTTTTGTACTTTTTAAAAAAAATTTTTTTCTGCTTCCTTTACCATGCTGTTGATTCTTTTTTCATGATTCTCTTGCATCACTTTCACTTCTTTTCCCCATTTTTCTTCTACCTCTCTTAGTTGACTTTTAAAATCTTTTTAGAGCTCTTCCAGTGGTTCCTTTTTGGGCTTGAGACAAATTCACATTTTTCTTTGAGACTTCTTATGTAGGCATTTGGACACTGTCCTCTTCTGAGTTTTCTGTTTTGATCTTCCCTGTCACCATAGTAACTTTCTATGATTAGGGTCTTTTTCTGTTGTGGCTGTTGTTCTCATTTTCCAGTCTATTTCATGACTTTCAAAGTTGTGTCTGCTCTTGGGGGTGAATGGGCATTATCTCTTGCATTGGGAGCATGGGGCCTGGCTGCTGGCCTGTTGCAGTCGGGGTAGGGGTCTTTGCAGCTGGTTTCCTGGGGCATGGCCTTCTGCTAGTTTGACAAAACATTGCCTGTACTGGACTGTGCTCCCCTTTTACCTGAGTGAGACAGACCTTTCCTGCCAACTTCCTAGGTTGTATTAGACTAGAAAATTGTTTCACCTGTCCTTTTGTGGATTTTGCTGTTTCAGAATTCAAAGTGTTAATTTATAGTTGTTCAGAAGTGAATTTGGGAGAGTTTAGGTGCATTCCTGCCTTATTCCACCATCTTGACTATGCCTTTAAGAAGGAAGATCATGTCAGAGTTTATTAATGATACTGGCCTAAAAATGATACTTTTTGTGTCATATCTTTCCCAGGTTTAGGTATTAGGGCCATATTTGTCTCATAAAAGGATTCTGGTGTAGTTCTTTCTCAATTTTTGAGAATAACTTGTGAAGTATGGATACTAACTGTTGTTTAAAAGTTTGATAGCATTCTCCTGAGGGTCTATCAACTCTAAAACGTTCCTCCCTCCCCACTCCAACTCTCCTTTGCTAGTTCCTTTATATCTAGATCTATTTTCTTTTCTGAGATTAGGTTAAGACCTCTGTGTTTAGGGATTTTATTTTTTGAAGGTATTACCCTATTTTTTTTGTGTGTTGTTACCATATAACCATGCACAATATGTTCTGATTATCTTTTTATTTCTATTTTTTTCCCTGAGATTTCACCTTGCTTATTTGCTATTTCATTGATATGATTTTCTGCTTTCTTCTTTTTAGTCAGGTTAGGTAAGGGTTTGTAAATTTTATTAGTCTTTTTAAAGAACCAGGTTTTGGGTTTTATCATTTCTGTTTTTTTTTGTTGTTGTTGTTGTTATTGTCTTTGTTTCCAACTTACCTATTAATCTTTCTGATTTAATCTCCTCTTTTTAATTTATTTTAGGTTTATTTTGATTTTCTAATTTTTAAAAACGCATATTCAGTTCATTAATCTTTTTTTTTATTTTGCTAGTGTATACATTAGCTGCATCCTAGACATTTTAGAAGTTTCATCATTCTCATTTTCTTTTTATTGCTATTGTTCAGTAATTTTTCAATTGTGTCTGACTCTTTGTGACCCAATTTGGGGTTTTCTTGGCAAAGATACTAGAGTGGTTGGCCATTTCCTTCCTCAGCTCACTTTGAAAATGAGGAAACTGAGGCAGAGTTAACTGATTTGCCCACTGTCACATAGTGTCTGAGTCCAAATTTGAAGTCAGGAAGATTAGTCTTCCTGACTCCAGGCCTGATACTCTATCCACTGCACCATCTAGCTACCCCTTATTTTCTTTTACTAGATATCATTTCTATCATTTGTTTTTTTTGACCCACTCATTATTTAACATTTCACTGTTAGGTCTCCAATTGGGTCTGTATCTTTTATTTGGTCCCTGAACCAGTTTCTATTCTTATTGTGCTGTGGTGTGTAAAGTAGTACGTATTGACTCATTTCTGCCTTTTTATATTTGTTTACATTTACATATGTCCTAGAACATGGTTAATTTTTGTAAAAGTTCCATTTCTACAGAGAAATATGTATATATTTTTTACTGCCCCATTTACAAGATACCATGTCTTTTAATTCTAGTTTCTCTAGACATTTGTTCAGTTCAATATTTTCTCTTTTGTTTATCTTCCTGTTAGACTTATCCAAAATTGATAGAGGGATATTGTCTCCTGTCACTATTGTGTTATTGTCTATGTCTTCTTGAAGATCAGATGTTTTCTTCAAGAGTTTGGATGTTATGTCAGACATTTGGAGCATATATGTTTAACTAATAATCATTTTATTGTCTGTGATTCATTTCAGCATAATATAGTTTACTTGTTTATCTTTTTCATTTTTGAACTTCATTTTTACTTCATCTGATAGCATGATGGTAATTCCTGCTTTTTTGGATTCACTTGACAATAAAGTGATAATTAATAAACTCAACTAATCTAGAGTGAGGTATCTCACGGAAAGCTCCAAAGACCTATTTTTGGTCCTATACTGATTGACATTTTTAAAATCAATGAATTGTAGCAAAGTAAGAGGTATGGAGGTATTAGTGAACTAAAAAACTCAATGAGTCAAGTGTCAGGTCACATGAAAAAAAAGGTTAATTCAATCTTAGGCCACCCTAGAAGCACAGTGTTCAGAGAGGAAGCAGATTCTGACACACTATCAGTCTACTCCTGAAGTAGTGCCTCCGGCTCTGGATATCACATTTTAGGAAGGACATAAACAAACTAGCCCAGGGAGGCCATGAAGTACCTATCTCACAGGGTTGTTGTGGGGATCAGATAATACAAAATCCTATTTGGCTTATAAACCCTTTGTAACCTGGCCTTCTACCTTTCCAGTCTTCTTACATCTTAATTCCCTCCAACTACCCTGCAAACTAGAGACACTGTACTCATTATTCCTTGAACAAGAGACGCCATCTCCTACTGTGCATTTTGGCTGGCTATTTCCCATTCCTGGAATTCTCTCCCTCATGTTCGGCAGGAACCCATTGCTGATTGCCCTTAATCTAGTCCTTTCTTTGTGACTATCAACAATTTATTCTATCTTATTTATAGTTGTTTCATATTGTCTTCTCCACTGGAATGTGAGTTCCTTGGGAGCAGGCACTATTTTTTGCCTTCCTTAATTTCCCCAGTGATTAGCATAGTGCCTGGCACAAAGCAGGCACTTAATACATGCTTATTGGCTTGACTAACCTATTCCAAATTCCCATATTTTTGTCTTGGTGACCTTATCATCCACACTCATAGCCTTGATTTCGTCCTTGATTCCTTACCTCACATAGCCAACCTACTGCCAAATTTGGTTGGTTTTACCTTTTACAACTTCTTAGTGGTAAAACTAATTCTCAGAATTAGTCCCCATTCTCAGAACTACCACCTTAGTTTGGGCCCTCAACTCTCACCTGGACTATTGCAACAAACAGCCCTCTAATTAATCATCTTGCCTCTTTCTTCCCACTCCAGTGGCTGTTACCTCCAAAATGAGATATAAAGACCTCTATTTGGAATTTAAAACTCTTTACAATCTGCCCACTTCCTTTTTAGTCTTATTTCCCTCCATGCACTTTATGACCCAGCTACACTGGCCTACTCATTGTTCCTTGTATATGATACTTTCTCTCCTGTCTCGTTCTTTTAAACTAGCTCTCTTCCCTCAGGACTGGAATTCTTTTCCTTACCTCCTTATTGGTCTTCTCAGCTTTGTTCAGAACTCAGTTAAAATCCCACCTTCCATAGGTGGCCTTTCTCTGTTCTTGTGCGTGTATATATTTTTATTTTGTATGTACAATTATTTGTGTCTTCTCCATTAGAATCAGCTACCTAGTTGCAGGGACTAATCACTTTGGCCTTTCGTGGTAGCCCCAGTAATTGTCACAAAGCCTGGCACTCAGTAAGTTGTTTATAAATGCTTGTTGACTGACCACCACATATTTATTTATTCTTATTCTTTGCTGTGGTATTGTACAAACAATTCTTTGCTGGTTATTAACTCTTCTTTGGTTAATGATTTTTTATGAAGACCAAAATTTCTTCCTGTATATGTTTTAACCACGAGAAATTAACAGGGAAGAACTGCTTTACTGTTGGTATATTTTATTGTATAATTGGAAGATGTTTGAAAAGTTGACATTGAAATATTAGGATACAGCAATATTATTTCCATCATTTAAAATGTTCTCTCTCACCCCACCAAAATTTTTTACTTTATCCAACTGATTTAAAATAATTTTTACTTATGAATGGTCAGCTTGACACAATTTAAATTAATAATAAAACCCATTTTTCTGTTCAATGTAATTAACACCCCCGCAAAAAAAAAACTTTAAAAAAACCTGCAGTAACAACAAATAAGCAGCTTTTAACACTGAATTTAAAATACTGATTAAAAAAAAAAGGCTGCTGAACAAAAGTAGACAAAAAAAAAACATAAATCGTAGGTATACATCTGTGAAGCACACAGGCAAACTGAGCTTCTTTTACATTAAGTTCAAATGAATTCTCAGTATTTACTAAGTTATCTTATCTCAAAATTAATGACAAGTGTCCTAAAAGAGTCAAGCCCTATTTTATAATGCTAGAAATAGACTCCTGGTTGCCAAACAGAGTTCATGACGGACAGAAGAATAAAATGGAAGTCTTCTGACTTGAATGATAATTTAGTTACTACTATATGTTTACTTCTTTTAAGTCATTTTTAACTGGTATTTCAGATGCTGTTCTTCGGATTAAGTCACCAAAATAAGCTGTAATTGTCTTCAATTTATTGTTAAGAAAATTTTGTTCTATTTCAACTTGTCCTCCAGGTCCAGCTAAAGATGCTATCTAAAAAGGCAACAGAAGAGACGCATACATAATTGGAGTTTTAGAACAAATCTTTTGTTCATAGTACTTGCAAAAGAGAAAGAAATTAGCTCTTTATTTATGCCCCTAAAAAGAGCAGTCCAGTACTCACTGCTGCTTCTTAATAATTAATGTTTACTAATGGAAAGATTGAGACACACACACACAAAAAACCCTATTGTTTTGCATGCTGCAATGTGATGGGTAAAGTTTTGGTGAGTTATTTTGTTGAAGAACATGATATCTAGAAGTGGCTAGTGTAATTCTTGCAAGTAAATCACTAAAACATGATGTAGTGAATATGGGACTGGACTTGGAGTCAGGAAGACCTGTGTTCAAATTCCTCCATGGGATACTAATGTGATTATAGGGTATGTCATATAACTTCCTTGTGCCTCAGTTTTTTTTTTTAAAATGAGGGGGTTGTCATGACAGCCCCTAAACCATTTTACCAGTTGTTAATGTTCTCTTCTCAAATTAGAGAGAGGGATAAGGATTGAACCTATTACTTCATTAGTATAGGGAATTACAAAATGAGGAACCTACTTCTACCAATGCAAGTCAATCAATTAAGTGCCTAGTATGTACCAGGCATGGCAAGATACAAATATAAAGAACAGAACTATGTGCAAGTAATTTACACAGCACCTTCTCTGCAAATGTCAAATAATTGCTTAGAATACTGGGAATTAAATTGACTTTCTCAATACCACACAGCCAGTATCAGAGGTTAGCCTAAATCAAACTCTTCTTGCTTCTACATAAGCTCTTGATTCTCAAATTTCTGATATTTATTTATAGGTAACAGGTCTATCAATGAAACTATCACAATTAAATTGGTCCCCGACTCTTTCCATTGGGACTGACTTTCTAGCAGCTGCTCTATTAGGTAGACTTCTGGGAGGCTGAGAAATGCTGACCAACTCCTACCAGTGTGGTAGGATTCTCTTTTGACCCCACTCCAAGCACAAGATACTATTTATCAGCCCTTTACTTCCTAGCTTCATTGTGTGCAAATCACAACCTTTCTGAACTTCTTTCCTCATCTATAAAATGTGAATAATATTACTGATCTCTCATATGGTTACTACGTAAGGACTGACTGAGGTAATATCTGTAAAGTGCTTTGCAAACTTCAATGTACATGTACCTATTAGCTTTTCTCACCATGGATTATGTATCTTATCATCTACATAGTAGAACGTAAGATCCTTCAGGGATAGATCCACAGTGCCTTCAATATTTATTTTGTTTGGACTGATGATTTTATGATATCAGGAGCTACAGAGGATTTCATCTCCTAATACATAAGGACAACTATATACCTGAGGCATAAAAGGTTAAATGACTAGTCCTGAGTCATAAAGCCAAATGTAACGGATGAGATTTGAATTCAGGTTGTCCTGATTCGCCAAATCTATATGCTCTATTCCACACTGCTTTTCACTTTGAACAAAGTACTTAATAAGTATTTATCTACTTGAATTATACTTAGCTCCTGAGTAAGGTACAAAGTCAGAAAACTGAGTAAATGCATCCTTAAATGTCAGATTGGTGTTTTATGTAAAGCACTTCATAAATCCTTGAGTGCTATATAAATATTAGCTATTATTACTATTATTCAAAAAATAAAATAATTGAATGAGAGTATGCTGTTGAGTAACCATTACAGGTACCAGACCTGTAGAAGATTGATAACTTATGGATTTAGCTCTTCTGTGCATGGATACAATGATTTCACTTTTATTTTAATATGCCAAAATAACAATGCCTGGGAGTTAGCCCTATGAGTAGACAGTGCTGTTGTTGCAAAGCTTGTTTGCTTCCAAATATTTCTCTTACTGGCCTGTCCCAGTGTCTTTTGAATAGATGTCTGCGGACGATCCCTGATAAAAACGTTAAATGAGCAGGTCAGCATGTCAGGATAGCAGAAAGAATGTTAAAACCATGGGATAACACAGTAAGGAGCCCTGAGCAACCAAGAAATGACAAGGGCCAATGAGCAACTTCTGGTGTGCGCAGAAGGAGACACACTGATGTGAAACATTTCAAAATTTTGCCCCAGAAATGGTCTCTGTCTGAGCATAACTGATTATAAACAATAGTACATACACATTTTCTCCAATTGTGATGGCACAGCATCACTAAGAAGAAACAAATGAACCAACTGGAAAAATTGCGGTTGGTTGCATTTACAAAGAAATTATGGTCTAGTTCGGCTTAGCTGGTAGGTATGACTTTATAATTTTTTCTTTTGCTTCTATACCTTGCAGAAATTATAACTAAGCACTAACCAACACAAAGATGATGTTAACATGTACTAAAAATAGATCAAGTTAAACAATTTTAATGAGCCACAAATGCCAAGTATCCACAGCAGCAACTGCTAGAAGATAAAAAAAAAAGCTCATTGTACATTACTAATGAGTATGTACTTAAACCTGTTCAACTTCCTTTACTTTAGGAGGAAAAAAGGCAGTTACAGAAACAGGAAAAACATAACACATAATCCTATGCTATATTCTCAAATTTTCAACGATTGCAATTAGTAAGACCTGCTAAACAAGAAAGGTAATAATGGAAAACAAGTTTAACAACAGAAATAAACATGAAATGAACAGCAAAAATAGTCATAATGCTATGAAGAAAAAACAAACCCTAAGACAAAAACATATTACTTTATCCAATAAAGAACTTGACAACCTTCAAAATGAAACCAGAAGTTAAAAATAGTTCAGAAGGCTCAATTTGCAACTGATAAGGAATGTTACATTTTTTTTTCTAATTTAGAACTTTTATGTCAAGTTTTTTTTTCACATGCATACAAGAAGTTGTTTTGTATCATCTGCTACAAATATTTTTTTCAAAGGACTACCAAATGACACTGCTTATAACAATTGCTTAGATTTGTTTCAATAATCCAAATTCCAAACTCTCCTCTGGATCAAAGTAAATGCTTAAATATTTCAGTGATCCCTGATCTTATAAGTGTGTATTCCGCCTCTACCAATCAATCTATCAACCATTTATTAAGCCCCTGTTATGTGCCAAGCACTGTCCTAGGCACTGAGGATAAAATGCAAAAAAAAGAAAAAAAAAGGAACTTTCTCTTCCCTTAAGGAGTTTCCATCTGGGTTGACAGCATGTATTCTATATAAATATGTGAAGAAATACAGAAGAACTAGGAGGAAAAACACTACCAGAAAGAGGTGCATGGGCACTTCGTCTTGAAGTGAGAGATTCCATGAGGCAGAAGTGGGAAGGGAGAGTGCATTCAAGGTACAGGGGGCAGACAGTCAGTCATCAGGCACTTATGAAGTGCCTATGACATTCCAGGCCCTGTGCTAAACATCGAGGACACCAAGAAGGGCAAAAGACAGTCTTTGCTCTTGAAGAGCTCACAATGGGGAAGACAACATGCAAATAACTACGTACAAGCTATATACAGGAAATAGAAAGGAAAGGCACTAGAATTAAGGGGGTGCTGGAAAAGTCTTGTAAAAGGTGGGACTTTAGCTGAGACTTAAAGGGAGCCAGGAAGAAGAGATAAGGAGGGAGAACATTCCAAAAACAGGAGACAGAGAAAACCCACAAAGTTGGGAGACAGAGTGTCTGGAATGAAAACTAACAAAGAAACCACTGTCATTGAATAGAAGAGTAGGTAGCTAAGTATGTAAGGTACAAGACTGGAAAGATGGGGCAGGGGGTCGGTAGGTTCTGAAGGCTTTGAATGGGAAACAAAGGATTTTATATTTGATCCCAGAGGTGACAGTGAAACACCAGAGATTACTGTGTGTGTGTGTGTGACAGAGAGAGAGAGAAAGACAGACAACTAGTTAGACCAGCGCTTTAGGAAAATCATTTTGGTGGCTCAGTACAAGATGGACTAGAGTGTGGAGAGATTTAAGGCAGGACAACTTACCAGCAGAGTATTGAAATAATCTAAGGGTGAGGTGATAAGGGCTGCACTAGGGTGGTAGTGGTGTCAGAGAAAAGAAGGGAGTGTATATGAGAGATGTTGCAAAGGTGAAATCGATAGGCCTTGGCAACATTTCAGATATGGGGAGTGAGAGATGGTGAGGAACTAAAAAAGACACTTATGTTGTGAGCTTGGGAGATTGGGAAATGGTAGGGCCCTTGATGTTTTTTTAAATTTTTTTAAAAATAAATTTATTTATTTTTAGTTTTCAATATTCACTTCCACAAGTTTTTGAGTTCCAAATTTCTCACCCCTCCCTCCACCCCAAGATGGCATGCATTCTGAATACCCCTTCCCCTGGTCTGCCTTCTCTTCTATCTCTCCCCCCTCCCTTCTCTTATCCCCTTCCCCTTCTATTTTCCTGTATAGCAGGATAGACTTCTGTACCCCCATTTCCTGTATTTCTTATTTCCCAGTTGCATGTGAAAACATTTTTTTTAAAACATGTGTTTTTAAAACTTTGAGTTCCAAATTTTCTTCCTTCCTCCCTCCCCACCCACCCTCACTGAAAAGGCAAGCGACTCAATATAGGTTGTACATGTGCAGTTATGCAAAACACTTCCTTAGACATGTTGTGAAAAACTAACTCTATTTTCCCTTAATCCTATCCTGCCCTCCCATCTATTCTATTCTTTCTTTTGACCCTGTCCCTCCTCAGAAGTATTTACTTCTGATTACCCTTTCCCAATCTGCCCTCCTCTCTATCTCACCCCTGCTCTCTTGTCCCCTTCTCCCCCTATTTTCCTGTAGGGTAAGACAGATTTCCATACCCAATTGAATGTGTATATTATTCCCTCCTTAAGCCAAATCCTATAAGAATAAGATTCTCTCATTCCCTCTCACCTTCCGTTTCCCCTCCACTGTGAGAGACTTTTCTTTTGTTTTTTTTTGTGTGTGTGTGAGATAATTTACCCCATTCTACCTCTCCCTTTCTTCTCCGAGTATCATTTTCTCTCATCCTTAATTTTATTCTCCAGATATGACCCCTTAATCTTCAACTCAC